GACTGGTCTGTGACCATGTCTGTGTGGCATCTTTTTGAGTATTGAGTGATGTGGAAGGACCCAACTCACTGTGGGTCATGCCACCCCGGGCAGGTGGTCCTATGTTGTATAAGAAAGCAGCTTGAGCTGGGACCAGGGGAGCAAGCCAGTAAGCAGCATTCCTCCAAGCCTGTGCTTCAGCTCATGCCTTCAGGTATCTACCCTGAGTTCCTACTGTGAACGCCCTCAAGTGAATGTGACCCAGGAGATGTAAGTCAAATAAACCCTTTCCTCCCCAAGTTGGTTTTGGTCAGAGCAATGGAGAAGCAAACTAGAACAGAAATTGGTACCAAAGAGTTGGGCACTGCTGTGACAGACCTGACCTTGGTGATTTGGGGAGGACTGTGGAACTTGGGGAAGCCTTTGGAACTTTGGGCTGGAAAAGCAATTGAGTGCTTAGAGTTTGTTGCTATGGAGCTTGGAACAGTTATGTGAAAGAATTTTGGACTATGGAGCCCTGGCTTGCGAAGCTTCAAAGGGAAGCAGAGACTCTCTGGAACATTTGTGGAATATTTTGTGGTTTCTGGTTGGCTGGGGCCAGAGACTCAGCTGTGATTAAGAAGAGACCAGCACCACTGAAGTGAAACCTCTGCTTTACTTGGACAATGATGCTTGTTAGCTAGGGCTGAAAAATCAGCTTTGAGTGACAAGAGACCAGCATCTGTGGCAAAATCTCCTTGGAAGTACTTCCTCAGGGTCAGCACACAGAAGTTGTGGTTGAGAGGGGGGTCGAGCCTCCATCTCAAGCTGGTAGCAGGACTTGGCAATGTGTTAGAGTCTCCTGCATGGTTCTGGTGTTGAAAGCGTGAAGGGCTCACAGAGAGCAGCTGAGGCTTGGCACACTGGGAGGCCAGAAAAGGCCATTGTGAAAGTACAGCCTCAGTTACAGTGAAGACCCCAGGACTGAAGGGATCGTGGAGAGAATCTGAGGCTTTGGACCCTGAGAGACCAGAAGACGCCATCGGTGAAGGTGCAACCTCAGTTCCAATGGAGATCCCGGGTTTTTGGAGATACCAGGACCATGGGATGACCACCAAGGGCAGCAAGCAGTTGTGGAATGGAGCTGGCCTGGGTCTCTGAGATGAGCTGTGTGTGCTGTGGATGACTGAGTCAGAGAAGTGGTGCTGCTGAAACCCCTTGGAGCCCAAAAGACCATGAGTGATTCCCAGATGTCCAGCCTTGAGCTACTTTGCTGGTCTTAGGTTTTGCTTAGGTGTGCCCAATTCTTCCCTTTTGAAATAAGATAGTACTTGTTTTGGATTTTACAGGAGCCCACGGTTAAGAGACTTTTATTAAGAGATTATGTGGATTTTTTAAGGCCTGTGGGATGTTTAAGGTTGTACTGTCTTATGCTGTGATGTTGGTAACATCATATCTTAGGGACAAGAAATGGAAAGGTTGTGGTTTAAAAGTGATGTGGTTTTCTGTCAAGTTTACAAGGTGTCAATTGTACTGGATAGCATTAGTTGTCAACTTGACACAATTGATGAATTGCCTCCATTGGACTGGCCTATGGCCATATCTGTGGGGCATCTTCTTAATTATTGAGTGATGTGGGAGGACCCAATGCACTGTGGGTTGTGCCACCCCTAGGCAGGTGGGCCTATGTTATATAAGAAAGCAGGTTGAGCAGGGACCAGGGGAGCAAGCCAGCAAGCATTGTTCCTCCATGACCTGTGCTTCAGCTCCTGCCTCCAGGTTCCTGCCCTGAGTTCCTACCTTGGGCTCCCTCAGTGATGAACTGTGACCTAGGAGATGTAAGCCGAATGAACCCTTTCCGCCCTGAGTTGGTATTGGTCAAAGTGTTTTGTCACAGCAATGGAGAAATAAACTACAGCACCATTAGACTGGCCTTCCAAGAACTTCTTCAAGCTTAAAGAGAATTCTAGTTAATAATATAAAAACATATGAGATTTCAAAACTCATTAGTAAAAGTAAACAAACAGTAAAGTCCAAAACACTCCAATGCTTTAATACCAGTGGGGCAAATCAATATTATACCTCATATGAACAAGAAAAGACAGGACTATTTAAAACAACTAAAACTACAATAATATGTTAAGGTATACATATAAAAGTACATAAATCCATATAAAAACATAAAACTTGGGAAAAACAGGAGTAAAATTATAGCATTTTTGTATGTAGTTAAAATGACTTTCATCAGTTTTAACCTAGTATAAGTGTAAAATGTTCTATGTAAGTCTCAGGGTAACCACACCAAAAGCATATACTAGACACACACAAATAAAAAGAACGGGAACAAAGCACTACAGAAAGCCACTAAGAATGTAATTACCAGAATGGCACTAGAAACTCCTCACTTATCAATTATTACTTGAACTATAAATTACGTTCTATAATCAATAGGTTTCTGCCTATTTGATTACATAATGACCTTCTTTAAGTCATTATGATTGACAATGATATAATGAATGCAACAAGATAAGATCTGAATACACACTGTTTACAAGAGACTTCATTTTATGTGTATGAGTGTTTTGCCTGCATGTGTAAGTATACCTGTGCATGCAATGCCCACGGAGGCCAGAAGAGGGGGTTGGATTCCCTGCAACTGTAGTTATAGATAGTTGTTAGCCACCATGTGAGTGCTGGGAACCAAACTAGGGTCCTTTGCAAGAGCAGCCAGCGCTCTTAGCCACTGAGCCATCTCTCCAGCCTTAGTTCACCTTATAAGGATAACTATAGACTGAAAGTAAAAGGATAGAAAAAATATATACTATGAAAGTAGAAACCAAAAGGAGCGTCAATAGCTATATTTATTTCAGACAAGTAAGAAGTTAGGTCAGAAAATAAAAAAGGAGATAAAAAGGTCATTATGTAATGATAATGGTATCAATTCATTAAAATGATATAAAATTGCAAATATACAGACACCCAACATCAGAGTCCTTAAATATGTAAAGCAAACATTAAGAGATCTGAAAACACAGACATAGAGTGCAGTACAATAATACTAGGGGCTTTTAATACCTCTATTTCAAATCTGGGTGGGCCATCCATAGAGAAAATCAAGGAAACCTTTAACTCTAACTGTATACCAAGTAGACATAACAGACATATATAAAACATGCTAGTCAATGGCAAAAGAGCACACATACCTCTCAAGTCCACACAAAATAATCTTCAGGACAGACCCTATGTTAAGATGTGCTTTGGTTTCACTTCTGTTACTGAGATAAAATATCCTGACAAAAGAAACTTAGAGAAGGAAATTATTTATTCCAGGTCACATTCCATTATTGAGGGAAGCCAAGGTGATAGGAACCTGGAGCACATCACATCCAAGAGCAGAGAGAAACTAATACACCCATGCTGCCTCCTGTTTTTAGCCAGGTTTCCTTTACCCTTGCACAGTTCAGGGCCCAGCCCATGGGATGGTGCTGTGCCCACAATCTGCTAGTTCTTCCTACATCAATTAAGAAACACAGTAATCTCCCACAGACATGCCCACAGGCAAACCTGATCTAGATAATTCCACATTAAACTCTCTTCACAGGTGATTGTAGTTTGCGTCAAGTTAACAGCTGAAACTAATGAGAAAAGGACACGAAATACGATTTAACAAAACTAAGACCAAAATCATATAAATCTCTTTCTCAAACACAATGATATGAAAATAGAAATAGATAATCTGAGGAACAATAGAAAATTGAAAAAATATGTTGAAACTAACTCATATGCTCCAGAACAAGTAATTGAGCAAAAGAAGAAACTAGGACTGTGGACACAGGTCAGTGGCAATGCCTGGAATGCTGAAGCATCTGAATTTGATCCCCATCACAAGAGTGGAGAAAGTGGAGGGGAGGGGAAGGGAGAGGGGGAGGGAGGCAGGGGGCAATGAGGAAGTTTAAAAATTCCTTGAGGCAGTCACGGAAACCCGATATGCCAAAATGTAGGGAATACAAGCATAAACCATAAAAGGCAGGTGTTTAGTAATAAATTTGCACAATAAAAAGGAAGTTTCTATGACATTTTCCATGCTCGGCTCGGAACTCCAGGTTGAATCATGTGGTTCATCTTTGTGTTCCTTTAAAACTGGGCCTATTTTCTATCAATGTATTTATTGGTATTTTGTTTTGATTTTCTATTACTACATCTTCCTGTCCACTACAAGTAAACTACTTGAAAACAGAGACTCTATTTTATCTGTATTTTAGTCTCTGGGTTGGTAATTACAATGGCTCATGTTTACTGAAGTGATGGATGAATGAATGAATAAATGAAAGAATGAATGAATGAATGAAAATCTTAGTGTGAAGTTGGCAAGGAAGAAGAAAAAGAACAAACTAAGCACATCATTTGCACAAAGAAGGAAATAATAAGGATCAGAACAGATAGGAAAAAGACTAGAAAAATAATAGAATAAACCAACAAAATAACAATTATGTTTTTGAAAAGCTAAACAAAATTGTCAAATACTTGGACTTAGAAACTTAAAAGAGAAGTCTCAAGAAAGAGAAATTTCTATTGATAACACAGAAGTACAAAGAACCATGGAAACATAATAAACCATTATACAGCAGTAAATCAGACAACCCAGAAGAAATAAAGGCCTTAAAATATATGAGTTACCAAAATGATTAATGGACACACTGAAAATCTGAACAGACCAATGGTAGTAATGAAATTGATTCACTAATTTAAAATCTCCCATCAACTGAGCAGAGTTACATGAATCTGCAGTCCCTATACTTCACAGGCTGAAATAGGAAAACTGTGAATTCAAGCCCAGCATTGAAACCCTGTATTAAACAAAGAAAGAGTCTTCATCAAAGAAAATCTCAGGACCCACATGGCTTCATAGATGAATTCTACCAAATATTTAAAGAACTAATACCAACCATTCTCAAACTCTTCCTAAAAGAAAAATGGAAAGGACTTTCTCTCTCTCTCTCTCTCTCTCTCTCTCTCTCTCTCTCTCTCTCTGTGTATTTGTGTGCACATGTGTGTGTTCAACTGGTGGATAAAGGTATGAAAGAGGTGAAGTGCAGAAATAAATCCTCTTTTGCAACTCAGAATTCAGTGTTCAGTATGAGTTTTTATATATACAGAAAGCGTTATAATACTGGTGGGGCTTTGCAGGACTAGCGGCCCACACACACTGGCAGAGCTGCACCAGCAAGGTTACCCAGGCACACTGGCAGGGCAGAGCTGAGCCAACGTGCCCACCCATGTGTCCCTGTGGCACCCATGGTTGACCAACTAACCATAGTTACCCAGTGGCTGTCAAGACCTGGCTACCGTCTTCAACGACATTAGGAATCTGAAAAGGCTACAGATTTCAGAAAATAAACTAGAGGACACTGATGTAAATCTGTTGTGTAGCTGTGAAGCTTCCCAACTGCCACTCAGATAATCTTAGATTGGAGGCCTGTAAGCAAATTACTGCCTGCCACAGGACCTAGCTTCTGCTTTTATGCACAGTAAAACCCTGTGGAGAATCAGCCTGTTAGAGAACACCTTGGTCCATAGTGGGGGTCTTTGCGCTGAGTGAGGCCTGGAAAGAGCCAAAGTGTAACTTGCATGCAAGGACTGTAAACAATTAACTTTAATAAAGAAAACCAAGCATTTCTGATGAATAAGAAAAAAGAAAAATCCCTACTTGACATTCCTAAACAATGTGTAAGAGAAATAGAAATTAATAGTGAAAATCCCATTTCAAGAAACCTCAGCATATTCTGACCCAAAATCACGTACAAAGGAAAGAGAATGGGCCCTTATTTCGGCACACATCTGTGTAAGAATTATAGATCTCGCAGGATTCCTATATCAAACTTCACCCATCCAGACCACAGGGACCGTTGTGGCCAGGTGGGATGATTATAAGAGCCAGGAGAGGAGGTGCATGACCATAAGGAAACAGAGACTTTCAGACTCCTGTGACCCATGCAAATTCTACCAGACAAAAACCAGTGTGGAACTGGGGAAATGGGCAGGAGGCCACAACTTTTGTGAGGGAGGAGCTATTGGCAGATGATCACTGTTGGGTGAGGGAGAATTGATCTTCTTTAAGGAAATGATGCTAGAAAGGCTAAACAGGCTCCAGTGGATGAACTCAAACCGAAGGACATCTGGTACACAAATTTGACTTCATAGACCTTAACATAATAAGACGCATGAAATCCTATGAGAGGGCTATGGGTGGAGTGCAGATAGAGAAGGGGAGCTAAATTATGAAATCCACAAAATTCACTTAAAAATGTATTTCAAAAAAGAATTATAGGGGGCTAGAGAAACGGGTCAGTGGTTAAGAGCACTGACTGCTCTGTCAAATGAATGTAGTTTGATTCCTGGCACCCACATGGTAACTAACAATCATCTGTAGCTCCATTTCCAAGAGATTCAAGGCCTCTTCTGACCTCTGCTTGGGTGCACTTACATATATGCAGGCAATAGACTCATACACATAAAATAAAAATAAATTTAACAAAGAATTATAGCTCACTGACACTCTAATGAGATATGATTTCTCTGGCACCAGCTCAGAGGTGTTATGTAAAATGGATGGGGCTTTTCATTTCCTAACAGACAACACGGGTGGGGTTGGGGGATGGTATGGTGAGGGTGCAGATGGGGGAGGAGGTCTGAATATATTGAAAATTGATTGCATGTAATTCTTGAATCAATAAAATTTCTCTTAAACTTAAAAATAAAAGAAAATGGAAAAGGAGGGAAGTCTTTCAAATTCATTTTATAAGGCCAACCACCATCCTGGTATCACAAACTGACTAATACACTTCAAAAATAAAAGCAAAGTAGCAGGTCACAATGGGTGGTACATACCTGCAATCCTACACAGGAGAAGCTGAAGAAAGGATCATGAGTTGGAAGCCAGATCAGGCTATATATCTAGATTGAGAAAGAGGATACAGGAGAGAGAGAGGAAGAAGAAGAGGAGGGGAAACAGAAAGAGGAGGAGGAGGGTGAATCAAGGGAAGGAAAAAGAAGGGGAAAGGAGAAAAGAAATAAACAGGAGAGAAAATCTACATTCAACTATCCTGACGAGCACAGATGCAAAATATTTTACTAGTAACTGTATTCAACAATATTAAACAAATCATTGCACATTGTCCAGTGGGACTTATCTGTGGGATGTAAGGTTAGTTTGGCATATGCACATCATTAAATGTGATTCATCATAAAACAGGACAAAGCAAAAACCATTTGATCATATGACTGCATGCAGAAAAATCGTTCAACAAAATTGAACATGATTTCATGACTATAAAGCTCACATCAAGTTGCATGCAGATAAAATGCTCCTCAACTATTTAAAAGCCATATATGACAAGAACACAGCTAACGCCATGCTCACTGGCAAAAACCTTACGGCCTTCTCCCTAAGATTACAAATAAATGCTGGTCAAACGTGGTGTCGCATGTATTTAATCCCAGCCCTTGGGAGGCAGAGAAAAGCAGATCTCTGTGAGACTGAGGCCAGCATGGTCTACATAGTGAGTTCTAGGCGGGTTAGGACTAAGGAGACCCTGTCAAAAAAAAAATTAAAATTAAGAATAAGACAAGAATACCCACTTTTACCACTTCTGTTTAATAGTTTAGTGTGGTATCAGGCATTCTAGCTATGGGAATTAGACAAGAAGAAACAAAATGATTGTAAATACGAAAGGATGATGTGAAAGTATCTTTATGCAATGATCACATGATCTTATATCAAGAAAATCCCAAATGCACCACCAAAAACATGATAGATTCAATTAATGAATTTGATAAAGTTGTAGGATACAAAATAAGCATACAAAAAATTAATAGCATTTTAAAGACTAATGATGAGATGTCTAGAAAAGAAGTTATGGTAACAATAATATTTATAGTAGCATCCAAAATTCTGAGAATGCAATCTAGCCAAGAAAATGAAAGATTTAGGTCATACCAATAATAAAACATTAATATAATTTTCCTAAAATGCCTATACTACCCAAAGCAGTTTATAGATACAATGCAATTCCTATGGAAATTTCATTGACATTCTTTACAGAAATAGTAAAAGAATTCTAAACGTTATATGAATCCATGAAAAATTTGAATATCCAGAGCACTCTAACAAATTCTCTTAAAAAGCAACCTGGAGGCAACATGTCTCAAGTTCCAAATTACAGTACAAAACTCTAGTAATCAAACCCATATGGCAAAAACTTGGGCATGGTGATACATACCTGTTATCCCAGTCCTCAGGGAAATGAGACAAGAGGATCACAAGTTCTAGGCTAACCTGGACTACACAGTGCAACCCTGTCCTAAAATCTAAACAAAAGATACCAGGTTACTGGTGCAGAAACAGACATGTAACACAGAGACCAACAGAATGACATAGAGAACCAGAAATAAACTCACACACCTATGGACAATTGATTTTCAGTAAAGGTACCAAAAATACACAGAAATTTGTATATGGAATAAAAAAACTCTCAAATTTATAGAAGTAAAGAATATAATAATTTTTCCCTTGAACCATGAAGGGTGTGGATGGAGCATGGGGAAAGGTTGGTCATCAGTTGCAAAGTTAAAATTACATAAAAATAGCTATGTGTAAAACAAAGTGACTATAGTTAATAATGATATATTGTATATTATAATATGGCTAAAAGGAAGGATTTTAAATATCCTAACTAAAAATAAATAATACATTTTTGACATGGAGAATGTGTTAAGTACTCTGATTTTCTAATTCCATAATATGGACATGGATCAAAACATGACATATTATCTCATAAATATATATAATTTTTCTTCAGTTCCTTGAGACAGGGTCTCAGTGTGGCCCCAGCTGTCCTGGAACTCACTATGTAGACCAGGATAACCTCTATCTCACAGATTTCTCCCTGCCTCTGCCTCCTGAGTGCTTGGATTAAAGATGTGTGCCACCACACCTGACCGACAATTATTATTTAACCACTCAATTAAATGAAATTTGAAAACAAGGAAATGCTCAGCAAATAAATCTAACAAAAATCAGTGTAAAGCTTTAAAATCTACAAAATAGTAGAGAGAAACTAAACAAGTAGATAGTTGGAGAAACATCTCTTGTTCTCAAATAGGAAGACTTAATATTAATAATATACAATACTCAAATTTATCTACCATATTAGTTACTTTTCTCATTGATATGACCAAATAATTCACAAGAATGAATAAAGAAGACAAGGGGCTTATTCTGGCTTGTAGTCCAAGGAGCTACATTCCACCCTGATGGAGAATGTGTTGTAGCAGATGCAGAAGTCAGGGAGGAAAGAGAGAACAGTGAGGCTGGCTATAAAACCTCAAGGGCTTTACCAATTATCTCCACCTGCAGTGAGGCTCCACTTCCTCAAGATTCCACAAGCATCCCAAATAGTCTCACCAGCTGGGGACCAAGTGCTCAGACACATGATCAAGAAAAGAAAAGAAAAAATTGACATCAGGCCATTAAAATTTAGCAAAACATTTTTATGTATTAGACATTATAAAAAAGTGAAACATTAATTATAGAAGGGAAGAAAATATCTGTGACTCAAATGTCTATATCTAATAAGGGTCTAGTATGCAACAAATATAAAGGACTATTTACACCTCAACAACCAAATGATGACTCAAGTTATATAAATAGCTAAAAAGCATGTGAAATGATTATCTTCATAATTAGATATTAGGGAAATGCAAGTCAAAGCAAAGTTACAAGTTCACAATCACACGAGTTGGCCATAAATAATAAGTACAGAAAATAAAAATTGTTACTGAGTATGTGGAGAAGTTGGAAAACTCAGACATAGCTGGTGGGCATGGAAAGGGTTTTGCTGCTATAAAAAAAATTGTTTGGAGCTTCCTGAAAACACTAAACATAAAAACAGCATCTGATCCTGCAATTCCAACATATCCTCAAATGATTGTAAGCAAGTATTCTAACAAGTACATGTGTAGATGTCCTTTATGACAGTGCCATTCGCAGTAGCCAAAACGCCTACCAACAGATACATTCTGACATGAGCATGGGACATAATAATATTTAGACACAGAAAACAGTGAGATAAAAATGCTACCACATAGATATACTTTGAAAACTTTATA